ATTTCAGCTGGATTTAGACAAGGCTGTGGCATGAGGAATACCATTGCTGATGTCAAATGGATCCTGGCTAAAAGCCAAGAGAATAGCAGAAAAATGTTTAATTGTATTCTATTGAGTATGAAAAGGCATTTAACTGTAGAAATTATAGCAAATTATGGCTAACATTGAGAAGAATAAAAATCCCAGAATATTTAATTATGCTCATTTGAAACCTATACAAAGACTAAGAAGCTGTTGTCTGAACAGAATAAGGGAATAATACTGCATGGTTTACAATCAGGAAAGGTGTGCATCAGGGTTGTAGCCTTTCTCCACACATATTCAATCTATATGTTGTTATGTACCTTTGAGTTGCCTGCAACTCATAATGACCTTATGTACATTAGCTCTGAACCATATCCTATCCTGAGCCAATCTCATTGTTCCCAACAGACCTAATCACATTTCTCCAGTCACTGAGTCAATCCATTTTATCCTGGGTCTTTCTCTCCTGTGCTGTCCCTACACTCTTCTAAGCATGATGTTCCTCTCCAAGGACTGGCTCCTCCCGGCCACATACCCAAAATATGTGAGACAGAGCCACAAAATCTTTGCCCCCAGGGAGCAGCTTGGTTTCATCTTCTCTAGGACAGACCTGTTTGTTCTCTGTATGTTCAATACACTTCTCTAGTACCACAACTCAAGGACATCAATTCTTCTTCTATCATCCTTAGTTATTGTCCAGATCTCTGATGTCTAACAAGTAATTATGAAGACCAAGACCTAGAGTGAGGCACACCTTAGTCTCCAGACTGACATTGTTGCTCTTCAGTACTGTAGAGAGGTCCCTGACAACAGACTTTCCCAGTGCAATTCGTCTTTTGATTTCCTGACTGCTGGTGCCAAGAGTGTTGGTGATTGTGGAACAAGGCAAGCTGAAGTTGTTAAAAATTTCAATCTCTTCTCCATCTGTCATGAATCTGCCAATTGGCCCAGTGGTGAGAATCTTTGTTTTCTGGATGTTGAACTTTTATCCATATTGAAGACTACAGTCCTTGTCCTTCTGCAGCAAATGCCTCTGAGCAAATTTTTGGATCAGCAGAACTATATGAAGACAAATGTGACATAAGGATTGAATGAAGTCTCATCAACAATCTGCATTATGCAGAAGATAGAACTATTTGTAGAAAATGAAGAGGACTTGAAACATTTGCTGCAAGATTAAAGACTACAGCAAAAATCCTCAATAATGGACCAATAAGCAACATTGTGATAGATGGAAAAAAGATTGAGGTTTTTAATGATTTACGTTTACTTGGATCCACAATTAACACTCATGGTGTGGTTTTAGCCTAAAAGTTGGCTTTTTTTTTTAAAGCCCATTCAGTGCCCTCTGGTCTCCAGCTACCTTAACTGCAGACACATGGTCTTGCAAATCATCAACAGGTGTGGGAGTAGGAGAAGAAAAAGTGCATTTACACACACAGGGCGGCAAGACTAGAAGCAAGCAAGACTTGTGGCAAGACTTGAGGGAGACTGGAGCAGACCTTGTTGGTGAACCCTGGTGATTGTGTTGGAGAGACTGTGGCATTGCTGTGGAGAAACTGTGGCAAGATATAGGCAGAGGAGCCCTGAGATAAAAGCCACAGTTAAAGGTGTTTGTTGTTCTCGCCTGACGCTTGAAGGAGAAGCTGACTTATAACCTGCTGACTGCTTGTTTACTTGGAGGCAAACCTTGCTGGATGATTTGGATTTGACTGCTAAACTGAAACCAGAGTCTGGACTAATGGAATTGTGCCTTGGAACCGTTGGACTAAAACTTGGACTTGTATTGTGAGATATTCCTTGCCTCCCCCCCACCCCACTCTCTAACTTCCTTCCTTAATAAACCCCCTTGTTGGTATCATAAGTCTGTGAGTTAGCAGTGAATAAATGAACCTCTTGCTGTTAGTGTGGCTCTAGAGGTACCAAGGGTTGGGCTACAGGCTGTTTATCTGCTTTCTACTCTGAGGCAGTGAGGTGCTGTGCTATTCTTACTCCCTCTGGCCCTTTCAGAGAGACATTCACAGTCTGTGTCCCTCTGGCTCATTTTCTCCTACTTAGACACAAAGGAGCGGCAGTCAAGAAATCAAAAGATGTGTTGCATTGGAAAAATCTGCTTAACAAACAGCAAGATAGTAAACTCAAAGACTAAGGTGCACCTGATCCAAGCCATAGTATTTTCAATTACTTGCTATGTGTCTGTAAATTGGACAATGACTAAAGATGACAGATGAATCAATGCCTTTCAATTGAGATGCTGGAAAAAAAGTACTGAATTTCCCATGAATTGACAAAAGAACACAAAAGTCTGCCTTGGAGGAAGTGCAACAAGGGCACTTGTTAGAGGCAAGGGTGGTGAAACTTCGTCTCATATACGTAGGACACTGTTAGGAGCGGCCCGTCCTTGGGAAAGAACATCATGATGGGAAAGGAGGAAGATCAGAGAAAAAGAGGTAGACTCTCAACAAGATAAACTGACCCACTGACTGAAACAATGTGCTGGAGTATTTCAGAGACTGGGAGGAGGGCACAGGATAGGGCAAGATTCAGCTCTGTTGTTCACAGGGTCGCCAGGGGTAATAGTTGACTTGATTGCACCTAACAACCACAGTAACAATAAGAGAATGTGGAAATTATTGCACAACATCATACCCAAATAAGATTTTGCTGAAAATGGTTAAAAAAAATGGAGCCAATAGGGAACTGCCAGAAATTCAAGCTGGATTCAGAAGAGGCCACGGAACAAGGGATAGTAATGTTGATATCAGATGGATCTTGGCTGAAAGCAGATAATACTAGAAAGATGTTTACTAGTTATGCAGAGGCATTTGACTGTGTGGATCATAATAACATGGAGAATGAGAACTCATGTGAAACTTGCACCTAGATCAAGAAGCAATCATTAAAAAAGAACAAGGGGATAGCAGATGGTTTAAAATCAGTAAAGGTGTGTGCCAGGGTTATGTCATTTCTCTATACCAATTCAATTTGTATGCTGAGCAAATCATTTGAGAAACTGGACTATATGAAGAATGTGGCACCAGGACTGGAGGAAGTCTCATCAGCAACTTGTGTTGTGCAGATGGCACCACCTTTTCTGTAGAAAATGAACAAGATTTGAAACACTCAATGAAGAAAATCAATGATTACAGCCTTCAGTATGGATTACACCTCACTACAAAGAAAACAAAAGTCCTCACAATAGTACTAACAGACAATATCAAGTTAAATGGAGAAAAGCCTGAAGCTGTCAAGGATTTGATTTTATAAGGATCCACTACAAATACTTTTAAGTTCTTGCCAGCACCTGACAAAACCTCTAGAGGCCTTACTTTCCCCATCTGTACATTGAAAGTTACTTGGCAGCTCACTAGAAGGTAATGAAGACCAAGTCAAATGCTGGACAAGAAAGCCACAGCATCAGGCAATGTGCAACCGTAGGATACTGAAGGCTGTTGTCCTAAGGCTTCTACCATTCAAGACAGTCAACGATCCTCAACATGATGAGGAGCCAGAACAGGGACGCATTTCAGTTACCAGAAAAACCACCAAAACAAAAACCAGCTAACAAATTGGTTGGCGCTATCTTGGAAGCAGAACATCATAGAACAATGCTGTGCCAGATGGTTCAGGGCTTGAGATTTAGCCTATGACAATGGGCTTAAAAACAGAGATTTGGCAGATTCTTAGTTCATCCTCCTCAGTAAAAGAATATAAAGGGCGAGAACAAGGGTGCAGCAACTGTGTCCATAGGGTTCAGAAGGAGGCACACACTTCTAGTGTTGTGTTTGCGTTCTGGGTACCCCACTCTAGTCTCCTGTCTTGTGGCCACCAAAGCCCCTTCTTAGTCAGATGGCATCCTCAACCACCCACTTGACTTTATAGCACAAAGCTCCAGCACCATTGAACTCTCTGCTTTTCCCCAAACCAGCTCCCTGGCTGGAATAGCGTTCCTCCTCTATGTTCCTGAGCCCTCTGGGGCTCGGCAAAAGTGCCACTTCCTCCATGAAGCCTTCTCTCTCTCCTACTCTGTCCCTCCCAAACTCCACTAGCTCCACCTTGCCCATCTCCTTAGTGCCTAGCACAGCGCTGAGACAATGAACTCTTATTGAATGAATGAACTCTTCCAGTCAGTAAAAAGAGATGGAGATAGAATGGAAGAAATGTTTAAATGGTGGCTTTCAGGCTTCTGGTTCTTCCCTGCCCTCTTTCAACTAAAGTAACTCCTTGGTGAGAGTCAAGGAATCCTGCAAGAAAACTATTTCCCACTTCTCTGTAGTGGATGCATGCACTCGATTCCATCATAGTGACCACATTCTGAGTCCCCTCAGAACAGGGAGTGAAACTCTTAACAAAAAGCCGATTCCAAGTCCCATTCAAGGCTGGAAGAACCCTGTGAGCTTGGAGTGGCATTCAGGGTGTGCGGATGCGCTTTGGCCCAAAGGAGCGAGTTGTCTGCAGGCAGAAGTGAGGAGGCTGAGTCTACTGTCTACTGGGCTTGAAGTTTCCCAGGAAGTAGGGCTTCGAACCTGTTCATTCCGGTTCGACTCTCGCTGAGAAGTTGCATTTTCACCCTGTACAGCAAGTGAAGCAGAAGCTACACTTTTAACAAGATCCTCAGGTGATTCTGTTAGATCCCTGAGTGATTCTTAAGCTTACATCAGATAAGAATCACGTAGAGTACTCGTTAAAATGTAGATTCTGATCCAATATATTTCAGGCGGAAAAGCAAATTCTGAGGAGGGTGAAAGAACCGCTTCGAAGCCCAATCAGGAAGAGAATAGGAACCCAGAGGAAGGAGCAGGCCAGTGAACCGGGGATTAGCTGCAAGGAGGACCAAGTGGGCCCAACACCGGCCTCCGGCCACCTTCGGGGACCATGCCTCAAAGGGATGTCCCCAGCAGCCCCGTCCTGGGGGGAGAACGCATCCCAGTGACCGGGCGCCGATCTCGGCCCCCCACCCGGTGTCCCGCGCCCACCTGGCCTGCAGGAAGGAGGCGGCCGGCTGCATGCCCGGGCCTCCAGCCGCTCCCGGGTGCTGCCGCCTCCGCGCCGCTGCCTCCATGGCTGCCCCGTCCGCTTGCTGGCAGCGCCTAGGGCCCTGCTCTTACAACTAAGAAACGCGCGCGCTCCCCGGGACCTGGCGGCCGATTACAAATATCAAACGCGGGGGCGGACCGAGGAATATGGCTCCGCCCTAGGGGTGACAGGGGGCGGGGCCACAAAGGGGCGGTGCTATTAAAGAGGCGGGGTCACAGGAACAGGGCTACTGGGAGGCGTGGTCAGGAAGGGGCTTGGTCCTCGGGAGGCGGACCTATGGGCGGGGTGAGCTCAGGAGAAGGGAGGGGCATCGCGGGAGCGGGCGGCTGCGCGCGCAGCACGTGTCACCGTTTCTGGGTCTGTGGGTTGCTAGAGCTTCCTGAGTTGAAGCGACTGGTGAATTTTTCCTAACTGGTTGCGGCTCAGGTATTGCGCTGCATCGTGGTGTGGATTCTGAAGAAGTCCAACCTGACTCAGACGCTCCTTTGGGGAGGTGGTTAGGCGCAATTTGCCATGTCCTTGGGGACGGAAGTACATGGGGCTGTCATGTCTCACATCAGTAATGTCTCTTAATGTGGTCGTTTGCACGAGGAATGACATAATCTGTGTGGTAGGGAGGCACTGTATTGAGGACCGTCCTCCCCAAATTGATTCCAATTCTTTCTTTGCCGCTTGACTTTATGGCTTTTAAGCGATGTCACCTCCCCTCGGGCTCGTCCAATCATTTATGAAGTGTCTATGCCCTGTGCGGAGGATGAATGAGAAGAGGCAGGACTTTCTGCATGTGGGAAACAGTTGTCTGGTGACAGTTACTGTTATGTACTGTTGAGTTGACTATGACTCAGCGACCTTATGAACCTTGCCCTATCCTGCACCATCCTCTATCTCTGATATGCAAGAACCCATTATTTCAGTCACTGTGTCATCTGTCTTGTTGAAGAGCTTCCTCTCTTTCTCTGACCCTCCACTGTGCCCTGCATGATGTCTTCAAGAACTGGTCCCGCCTGACAACATGTCCAAAGTACTGAAATGAAGTTTCACCATTCTTGCCTCTAAGGAGCACCCTGGTTACACTTCCTCCAAGAGACATTTGTTCGTTTTTCTGGCAGTCCACAGGATATTAATTTTCTTCAGCACCACAATTTAAAAGCATCTATTCTTCAGTTATCCTTATTCATTGTCCCACTTTCACATGCATAGGGAGTACTTCAAAAGGCCATGGCTTCGATCAAGCACACCTTAGTCTTTAAACTGACAGTGTTGCTTTTCAGCGCTTTAGAGAGGTCCTGACAGTAGATTTTTACCAATGCAAAGCATCCTTTGATTTCTTTTTTTAATATTTAAAACAAATTTTTTGTTGTTGTTGTTGTTATGTGCTGCCGAGTTGCTTGCAAGTCATAGCGACCCTATGTACAACTGCCCTAAACTTTGCTCTGTCCTGTGCCAATAGCACTGTCTCTGATACACCCATCCCGGTTACCCCAGTCATTAAATCAATCCGCCTCATAGAGGGCCTTCCCCTCCTGCACTGTCCTTCCCCCCTCCCAAGCATGATGTCACTCTCCAAGGACCGGTCTCTCCTTACAACACGTCCAAAGTATGTTAGACAGAGCCTCAGAATCCTTTATACTGGTTTATTTACAAAGTTCGAATACATTGTTTTCACACCGGATCTTTGCCGTTTCCTTCACCTTCCCCCCATCAAATTGTGTGACGCTATGATTACCCCCCCTCACACCCATCCTCACCCCTCTGTTTCCTCCCTACCCACCTCTTTGGATCCTCATATTCATTCTACAATAATGGTTTTATACAGTATTTGTCCTTATAGGACTGAGTCGGTTCACTCAGCATAATGCTCTCCAGATTCTCCTAAACGACCTTTTGATTTCTTGATGGCTATTGCCATGAGTGGCCTAGTTGGTAAGGAATTTCACTGCTAACTCAAAGGCACATGGTGCAAATCCACTAGCTGCTCCACAAATAGACAGGCAATCTCTTCCTTTGTGATTTACTGCCTCTGAAAATCTGCTGGAGGGTCAGGTATGAATTGTTTCCAACTTGACAGCACATAACAATAATAACACTACCATAGGCGTTGATGTGGATCCAAGTAAAATGAAATTGCTGACAACTTTAATCATTTCTCCATCTATCGTGATGCTGCCTATTGATCCAGTGGTGAATATTTTTGTGGAACTGTTGTTATTATTGTTGAGTTCCAGCTGTTGAGTTGGAACCAATACATAGCTGACCCTCTGGCAGATTTTCACAGGCAGTAAATCACATGGGAAGAGACTGCCCATCTTTCTCCTGTGGAGCAGCTGGTGGATTGAAAATGGGTGCTTTTACGTTGGTAATGCAATTTGTTACGACTAA